GTTTGGATCATACCTGACCGGACGCACACAATCAGTGAAAATATTACATGTCGAATCCTCCCGGGGCACGGCCTTGAGTGAAACCATACAGGGAAGCTTTTTGGTTTCAACACTCTTTCATATTTATTTCAACAACAACTGCAACAGCGTACAACACGGTCACTCATTTCTATTCGCGGATGAGAAAGAAATCGTCTATATGTCTTCAGTTACAAACATATCTGTACTTGACCGAATACGAGAAGACCTAAGGGCTCTGGAGTCATGGTGTCAGCAATGGCAAATACATTTTTCTGCTTGAACGTCGGTTGTCATGACGTACTGAGGTTCAGTACCTGATGCAGCTCTGATGAATAGACATTCCTATTCAGCTCCATACATCAGCAAAGGATCTGAGTCTGCATTAATACATGTCTCTCAAGTTTTCTGGGCAAGTGCACTTCAACACACAAATGCTTGAGAATTAACCTTCTATAAAATCTGCCACATAAACACTGTCGAAGCACGTCTAGAACGTTACCAGAGTCACGTTCGCCCGAGCTTGAAATGCTGTGCTTTCATATGTAGCAGCTTGCGTTAGTCGCACCGCTTTTTGCTTGAAATTGCCCAACGGCGCTTCACTAAAATGCTCTTGCCAGGATACCAGGCGTTTAGTTACAAACAATGGCTACAATAGTTACAAACAACGGATACCTTGGTGAGAGGCGCTTGCGTTATGTTTAGCTTAATATCTGTCCTTCCCAACTCTGAGGTCTCGCCTGGATCAAGTGCCCGGTAAGTCTAGGGGCTACGGCTGAAACTTCGAGTATAAAACAAAATTTACCTATTTTCATTCTTGCTTGACCCATTTCTAGCTCCTCTGCGGTCACTCAGTTCCTAAAAACCCAGGTGGCAGTAGTAAGTACAAGTGAAAAGAACGTCTGTTACTCCCAATTCTTATCTTCACCTACAGGGCTGTCTATCTCGCCACTAGCACGACGCAAACAGGTCGACAATTGGCATACCACTTTTGAACACATTGGCAACTCTATATGTCCGATGAATGTGACCTTACCGCTGGCAGCGGTTCCTTAATCGGCCATCACTCCCGTATCCCACCTTTATTTCCCTCCAAAGGGTACTGCTCATCAATGGTAACCAGTAATGATTACTTACACAACATGCCCCCGGCTTCAACGCCCGGCTTTCAACTAAGCTCAACTGCAACGCTTGAGAAATAACCGGCAGTCAGTTGTAAACTAGACGGTAGTGCATCTCTTGAGAAAAGCAGATTGAGCTACGACCATTATTTCCTCATTCTCTGGCGTCCCATGTGAAAGACTGTCTTCATTTATGTCTCCATTCCTGTTCTGCGCCTTCCGTTCCTTTCCTCCTCCCTAAAACCACAGATCTTTTTGTGTCACAACGTTTGGTAAGCCGTAGATTTCTTAGCGACCTACCTATGACCCAGGCTTATTTGTCTTGTATTCTGTTCTGTTATAAATGTTAATGAACGCAATGGCGAACACCTCCGTCTTGTAAGGGTATATGCATAAAACACAAATTTGTCGCCTTTTCCTTATCTACGTCTTCATAACCATTAGCACCCCTTAAGTAGTTAGTCCTGCGGCTCCACCTAAGTGGACAAAAGTTGGTAAACTCTTAGCCTACGGTTCTTTTCGAAAGTGCACACAAATGTGCTGATAGTCCGTGGAGTCCATCTCTTATCTGCTATTCTCAGAGCTCATCTGAACCCATCGGTATTATTCAACGTCACTCCAATCTTTTAAGCTCACACTTATTTGCCTACATGGGCGCTATTTATCAAAAAGGCCTCAAAATGTCCCAATTGCACGAGATTAAATAGTTTATTTATCTATTTATATACCTCCAACGCCCTCCGTTAGTCCTCTATTTATCCCTTATTACTGCCTTATTCGTTCGAATATGGTTGCTTCTAACAAGATTACAGATTTGGATACTAGGGGAACTCCACTAGCCACTATCCTCGTAGTGGACGTTAGCATCCCGATGGAGCGGGTACTGGAAGCATGCATTTTTCCAACCTAAGTCACTACGAAGTATGGATCAAACTAGATTGTTACGAAGTTGCTGAGCCAAACGTAATACTACGTACACCTTCAGTTGAGTCACGGTCTCCTAAAGCAGACATTTTGCGCTGCACTTTATCTTCTCATTGCCCCATATCTTAGTTTTATACATAAATAAATAAATAAAAACTATATTCTCGAATACTGGGAGGCACACAACATCTGAGTTGAACATTCGCCGATCGCTATTGGAAACAGGATTGTAGAGATCAGAAAGAGAAATCTTTTGTCAGCCCCATCGCTACTCGATCATTGTGTGACGGCCGCGATTCGATGTTATCCGGTAATCCACAAGGGACCGTGACAGCTACACTGGAAGTTGCAAGGGCCCATCGTAGTCAAAAGATTTGAATCTAACATTCGCTTGAAACATTCCTCAGTCTGGGCATCGAGCACATGCTTCGGTAAATCGTTCCAATCATTGACTACGCGAGTTGATAGGGCGAGAGCAGGACGAACTCGGAGCCTTCTGTGTTCAAACAGTTTCCAGTTGTGGCCTCGAGTTGAACTGTTTGCATTGATTTGAAAGCACGCATGCAGCTCCGTCCCCATCTCTCATTTCCGGATGCGCCTGGTGAAAATCAGGTCACCGCGACGTCGGCGATAATCCAGGGAGAACAGATTCATCCGCTGAAGTCTCAGGGGATAAGGCAAGTCCCGTAAGCTTAAGATGTATTTCGATCCTCGCCGTTGGACCTTCTCAATGAGGTCACATTCGAACTTGGTGAGAGGGAAGACGGCAGGTAATCCGTATTCGAGAATGGGGCGGACATGGGAAGTAAACAATAGTCGGAAGATATCCGGAGTCAAACGCGAGAAGGCTCTTCGTATGGCATGGGACATCCTGTTGGCAGCAGCAACCCTTCGTAACGTGTCCTGTGTAGTCCGTAGATCAGATGACACCAACACGCCGAGGTCTTTTTCAAGGATTGAGGTTCTGAGCAACGCCCCACCAATGTGATACGTCCCGAAAGGCTCAGAAGCACCAATGGGGAGGACCGAGCACTTATCGCGATTTATGGGCAATCGCCATTTGACTGACCACTCATGTAACGTATCAAGTGTAGCCTGTAATCGGTCCGCCTCGTCAAGACAGGATACCTCCATCCACAATTTCAAGTCATCAGCGTAAATCAAGCAATCCAACTGAAGTTCCGCCGGGAGGTCATTGATGAAGATCTTGAAATTTCTGGGCCCAGGACCGATCCCTGTGGGACACCGCTAGTCATGAGCACAGGAGCGGAGTAAGTCTCGTTCAACGTCGACTCGCATTGTCCGGTCATCCAAAAAATCAGCGATCCAAGAGAGAACGTTCTAAGAAACACCGATCCCTCGTAGTTTATAAAGGAGCCTTTCATGAGGAACATTGTCAAAGGCCTTGCTGAAGTCGACAAAAATAACATCCAGACGTTTCCCAGCGTCTAATGATTTTGCTCATCTTTCACGGGCCACAAGCAGATTCGAAGAACATGAGCGCACCCGCCGAAAACCATGCTGCGCACAAGAGATGACGTTTACGTCCTCGATGTGAAGATGGTGTCCGCTTGAAAAGCTTTCTCCATTACCTTACACAATATTGACATTAAGCAGGTGGGTCGATAATTGGCAGGATTTTGACGATCCCCTCCTTTGTGTATGGGCTTAACAGTTCTCACCTTCCATGCGATCGGGAGCCGTGCAACTTCAAGGAAATGGCGAAATACCCGCAAACAGGAACGGCAATGTAATCGGCCAGACTTGAGGAATAGCGGATGCAACCCATCAGGACCCGGCGAGGAGTTCGGATCTAATTCACGAATGCCTTTGGCAACGACATCAGCGCTCATTTCTACATGCTCCAACGAAGAAGGGAGTATTGGCACCGCGTCACTGGGAAACGGCGTCTCCATCGAGTAAACAGATGAATATTGCATGGCCAGGAGACTGGCTTTCGCAGCGTCATCGTCAAGTAGACCAACACGAGTCAAGGACTACAGAGCAGGAATACCACTGCTTGCTCTGGTACTTCCGTTCAGGTAAGAGAAGAGTGCCTTGGGAGTCGTCTTGGATTGCACAGCCAAACCGAGTTCGTACTTTTGCCGTTTCTCTCGTTTTTTCAAGTTGCAGATATTCCTGGCCACTTTATATTCCGAATAGTCAGACTCGGATTGCGTGAGCTTGAATCGGACCCACAGTTTCCGTCTTTTGTTCATTAGGCCCCTCAGTTCTCGATCG